ATTTCTTAATAACTAAATCCCACAGCTTCACTACTATAGAGAGATAATTCATTCACACACGCAATCGCTCTCACTAATGCATTCATATTAATGTAATCTACTTTATCTGTATCTGATGGAGAACGAGCAGAAATCTGTGAGAAATATAATGACCCAAAGACACAAAATCTGATAAAAAAGAGCTGCTATAGGAGCACTAGCCGTGTGTGCAGCGCTGTGTGATATGCCATAGCTGTGCACAAGCTGTTTATCACAGACTCATTTGTTCATTAATGACGTCATCAGCGACTAGTCGACTTTCATCACATAAAAGTCGACTTCAAAAAATCAGAAGTCGTTCAACCGCTACTATATAGTAGGGAGGTATGCGATTTTGGACGCAGCGTGGGTCAGTTTTTCCCGCCTACGTGACGCGGACCTTTCCAACGTGATTCCGTCATGCGTGAAGTCAAGCATCTGTGGTTAAAAAGTATATAAATGTTTGTTTTTTAGCAAATGAGCGATGGTTTCTCTAGAGAAGACTCTTATTCCTCGGCTGGATCGTGTCGAGCTCTTTGAAGCTGCGCTTTGGTCCTTCAACCCAATGGTCTCCATTGAAGTCCACTATATGGAGAAAAATCCTGGAATGTTTTCCTCAAAAACCTTCATTTCTTTGCGACTGAAGACAGAAAGACGCAATCTCGGATGATATAGAGGAGAGTAAATCCTCAGGGGTTTTTTATTCTGGAAGTGAACGCTATGTGTTTGTTCGAAGATCATACTTCCTCCAGATTATATCATATCAATATATCAGCTAAAGTATGACTGATTCCTACATCAGTCCACAGAAACGTCAAGTGGAGATTGTCAGGTGTTATGAAAAAACATATTATTAATTCAGTGTAATATGGACCTTTTATTCTACCGTATTAATAATCAAATACACAAACATCCTAATTATTTTATTATATGATATTATTGATCAGATCTATAGCTGCAAAAACATCTTATTTAATATACTAATTCGATGAAAATAAAATATTAATATTAGTAATTTTAAAATATTTTATATATATTATTATTATTGAAGAAATATTAATATATCATTTTATTCTATAATATGAATCATTAAATGCATAATTATCACAATACATATAATGTTAATGATCAAATATATAATTTATAAATTTTAATTTAATTACATATAATTTTTAATAATAAATATAAAGTCCTCATTTGTAAGTCGCTTTTGGATAAAAGCATCTGCTAAATGACTAAATATATAATATAAATATAAATATTATTTATTTATTTAGAACATGTTAATACTTTATTCGTTATACGTTATTTACTAGAAAGTGGGCCAATTTAGTCCCAAGGAGTATTGAAATAGTACACTTAGAAGTATACTACTAGTACACTGATATTTGTATACGTACTACATAAAGTATACTTAAAAATATACTTGAACTTTACTTAAGTATACTTAATAAAATAAACTTGAAGTACACTACTTTTTGGTAAGGGATACAGCATTACTAAAAGAGAAAATATTAAAGTTTTGCAAAATATGGCCACATATATTTGTCTTCGTTATATTACGGATATCTTAAAATATTTACAGATGGGTCAAAAAACAAAAATGGTCATTGTGGCATAGCAATTGATATTCCAGAATTTAACAAAAACATCGGGTTATAGATTAAATAACCATCTTTCTGTTTTTACACTTGAGATGTCTGGGATAATTACAGCCTTAAGATGGACAGAAGAAAATAAACTAATTAAATCAGTCATATGTACAGACTCAATGGCAGCCTTACAACGTTTAGAAAGCAGTATTTCAGTTCGAGACGATTTCATCATTGAAACTACTATTAAATATTAGAAATCTATAGGAATAGAAATTCAGTTTTGTTGGGTTGCAGCATATATTGGTATCAAAGGTAATGAAAAAGCTGATGGAGCATTGGAAAAAGAGCAAGTAGAAATTAATATTTCAATGGGAAAAGGAGAGATTAAAGCCAAGATTGAATATGAAATAATGCAAATATGGCAAAAAGAATGGGAGTCTGAGTCTAAAGCTAAACATCATCATATAAACCAAGCAAAAGTAGGAGGAAAAAGGATAAATATGGCTGAGATTAGGTCATACTGGATTGAATGGTATGTTGCAGACAACAGGGAAGAGGATTATGTACAAGATGTCAAACCAAGGAAGATGTAGAACATGTCTTCTTTAGATGCAATAAATACCATGAATACAGGCAGGAATGGAAGAAGAAAATAAAGATATTCTTGGAGAACAAGGGATGGAAAGAAATAGACTCAAAGCTTTGTTTATATTTCTTGAAAATACTGGATTAATAAGAAGAATTTAGAAACGAAAAGATTACCCAGACTCCTGTACAGTAGGTGGCGATATGCAATAATTACAAGTTGCAAAAGCCAAGAAAAAAGAAGAATTGTTTAAGTATTTAAAAAAAGACGAGATTAATGGAAAGAGTTTGAAGTTTTGAATTTATTTACGTAAAAACATTTTGGTTTATTTTATTATAATTTTTTTTATAATATCTATAATAGTTAAATAATTCATAATTCTCTGTTACTGTCCACCACTGGAATTCAGACATACTACTCGCCTCCCATACTGTTTTTAGCCTACTATATAGTAGGGGTTGCACTGACTAGTCGACTTCAATGCTCTGCCATGACGCTTTAAGCTTGACGTCGACTAGTCGCTGGTCCTATAGAGGGCACAACAGAATAAGAAATCTTTGAAGGACTTCCACATTTACGCTCAGTTTCCAAACAGTTCAAATGACAAATAAATGCATACTCTGAAAGCGCTCCACAAGACGTGTGTGATTATATTACTGGATGCTCGAAATTGAACGGGAGAATGCACACTTTAAACAGCTTATTGTACAGGTAAGTTAATCGCCG